ATACAGAAGTCAAAAACAAACTCTTTACAATCTTCGCACTCCATATATAGACTAACATATCTTACATAGACGCGGGATGCGGGTAATCGCCGTACGAATCGAGGTGGGTACTTTAGACGGGTAATCCTCCGGTTGTCGTTGCGCTGGAACCCCCATCCCCTATACTACTTACCTGAGACGAACAGGAACAGTAAGGCAGAGTTCTACAAACAAATCCTTCATGTACTGTCTGTGTACTCCACTCTGAAGGTTGTTCAAACCTGGCAGGGAGCAAAAGGACTGTTAGAAATTGCAAAGAATGTGTAACAAAAACACACACATCATCAAAATGTGGCCAGGTTATCATGATGGTACCAATATTACTTGTCAACAAACAATAAAAACCCCTTCCATTTTCATTTCCCCATACATTTACTGCAAATTTTCAAAGTTCCATCAAATTTTCTTACACTCTCAATTATTTGTGCTTCATTCAAGAGTCCTGTACCAAAAAGGTCGGAATTCCAAGTTTGGAGTTTGTATCTTGCAATGCCTTGATGTTTACCAACCTCCCCCCCCCCCCCCCCCCCCCCCACCTACTTTGTCATTTTCCCATACATTTACTAAGGCTCTTTTTAGTGCACTCAAACTGCAAAATCATTGTCAAGTTCAAAACAGAGAACATACAGTAGAAGCTGAGACCGATAGGTATCCTCTTATGTATTCATTTGAGATCGATTTGAGACATGTTAAATGTCTCCATGCTTTTGTCAGTGCAACAATTTATGAACATTCCACGAGTTGTATCACTAGATACAGTACATCTTATAAATCTACAGTATTTCTCATGAAGCATAGTGGTTTCGGTTCTACTGTATGTTCTGTGTTTTTGAACCCAACAACGATTTTGCAATAGTGAGTATACACCATAAATAATCAAGCAAACAAATAGTAATCATTGCTCAATAATTACTATTATACACTAACTAATGATTTTAATGCCTTAATAATATGTGGTTTTTACCTTGAAGTAGGTTTGGCAAGAGTGGTAGGAATTCCTGGTAAAGCAGGTCATGACTTCCTAAAAAAGAAAAAATATTCCATTAATATGAATGAATATTAATAGTCAGTCAACTTCATGGTGGTATATATTATGATTTACAAAGTCATGATACAAAGCATGCTCTGATTGGCTGACCACCATGGAAAAAAAAAAAAGGATGAATCATGCATGTGTACATGATTTTGCATGTGCTGACATCATGTTTTTCACATCTTTCTGTACCTCCCACATACATCCATAACAATAAAACAAACTCAGCTTCCTAACTAAAAGCAAGGAATATTTAATAAGAACATAACACTACTGTAAGTAAGAAAATACATGCATACTTGTTGACTGCACACACTGAGCTGCCGCGTGCACTACACGCACTGAGTTTAGTCAATGTGGTGACTGCCTGCAGGATTTAACTTAACATTCCTGTGAGCCATACTGTAGATATACACTCTTTACTAATAATTGACCATTCCTTTACTGGTTTGTTCTTACCTCCGCCAATAGATCTGAAGAGAGCTCTCAGTAATAAGAAGTAGTTGTAAGGTTCTTTAGATGTACAGGCAAGGTCCATGGATCTGTTCACTATCTCATGAAGATGAGGCTGAAAAGAACAATCATTTATTTAACAAATTTCTGATGGTTTAGCAAGCTATGTCCACAAATTTCCACAATTTTTTAAAACAAATTTCCTGTTTTGTGAGGTTTTAAATGCATTTTCCATCTGTATTTTATCAAGGTAGTATCATTGATATCTTAGAAGCTTTTGTCATAGCTATTAAACAAACAAATTCCCACATGATGCAGGCTGAGACAGGGCTAGGACCTGGACCACAGTGGTGAGAGGTGAGCAGCAAACTACTACGCCACTACATATAACACTGTTTCGGATGTAATTCCTTTGTAAGAGATAATTATAATAAATATAACAGATAAATATAATTATAATATAATAGATAACTAGCTAAAAAGAGATAACTAGCTAAAAACTAGTGCAAGCTGCGTCTGTGTTTCTAATGAAACAGTAATGATAAAAAGGTAAATTATACACCGTGAAAAGATGAAAAAACACTAGTCCTTCGGTCAGAGTAAAAGATGAAGGATTAGCATGCAAAACATCAGTTTTTTCATCTTTTCATGGTGTATAATTTACCTTTTTATCATTACTATAATATGCATAAATTATTTATACCTTCAACATTTGCTCATTTTCTGAAGCAAACAGTGAAACAGAACCAAAGACCAACTTGAATAGTTTAAGATACAGATTGGAACGATCCATGTTAGCTGTTGATTACAAAGATGACTATTAATATTGGGGCTCTGGATGCACTCTAATAACGATAATAATAATAATAANGATAATAATAATAATAACTATAATAATAATAATGATGATGATGATGATGATAATAATAATAATAGTAATGATAATAATAGTCTATTCCAAGTGGATTCGAAAAATCTCAATGCTCTTACAAATACTAATATTATTTTATGAAAAATGAAAATTATAACATAGCCACGATATAATGCGCACTCTGGTTAATTAGCATTGGTTAAAAACCCATGGTGCACGCCGCTGACATCAAAGAGTAGCGCRTGCTATGTAATGCAAATTTCGTTAGAAAAACAATTTGAATTTTTCTCGATTAACGAAGAATTTTTGTGCTTTTGCTGTGCTATAAAAGCATTGGTACTTGGTTTGCGTGTATTCATCAAGTTTTGGGTGCACGCGGGAGGTTGCTTAGCACAAAAGAAGTGTAAGAGTCACACGAGGCGTAGTTGAGTAAGCAAGTACCAATCCTTAAATATATAAAAAGTGTAGATTGGGACAATATCACGATCTTCTAGTGTAAAAGGTACAATATACTCACTTCCCATCTCATCCAGCCGTTCCAGCAGAAACTTCACAAGAATTGTAGCAAAAGTCGCAGATGTGTTGGGATTGGCAAGAAATGAGTTTGGAATGATCTGTTTAAGGATGAAACCATGTTAGCTGTTTAGCCATGGAAATAGGTCATCTTCTTCAGAAGAAGGAAACCTCCCCCCACCCTCCCCCCTAACCCTCCCACACTCACATACACAAACTAGGGTCAAAGTAAGTAACAGTATTCCTATCATATTTTTTTAAAAGTTCCAACAAGAAGGACCTATATATCCTCAGAACCTTTCACTATGATTATAACTCAACTATATAACTCTGTGACAAGCTTACCTGTAATGCATAATTTGTATGTATTCTTTCCACCAAATACTGCAGAAAAATGCAACACACAAGATTAAAGAGAGTAAAGAGAAGTGCATAAGGAGAGGTTGGACCCTTATATTTGCATTTTAGGGGTATAGATAAATAATTAATAAAGGTTTTGACACAGACAAACATTAAGTAAAAAGTTATATAGATGCTTTTGAAACACTACACCATGAGAAATATTTGTCCCTGGACATAAATTTATGTCCATCGTGAAACACTACATCATGAGAAATATTTGTCACTGGACATAAATTTATGTCCATAGTGAAACACTACACCATGAGAAATATTTGTCACTGGACATAAATTTATGTCCATCGTGAAACACTATACCATGAGAAATATTTGTCACTGAACATAAATTTATGTCCATAGTGAAACACTACACCATGAGAAATATTTGTCACTGAACATAAATTTATGTCCATCACGAAACACTACACCATGAGAAATATTTGTTGCTGGACATAAATTTATGTCCATCACGAAACACTATACCATGAGAAATATTTGTCACTGGACATAAATTTATGTTCAGTGAAAAATATTTCTCATGGTGTAGTGTTTCACTATGGACATAAATTTATGTCAAAATGAAAAAGTGCAAAACTACAACTTTTACTAAGAAACCAAGTATCCTGAAAAGATCATAAAGAATAGTGTAATGTTTTATTGCTGTCAAACTAACCTCTATGCTTGAGGAAAAAACTTCTTTGAAGGTGGAGGTGTTCATCATTGTAAACTAAAAACGTCAGTGGAAATGTTATATTTTATGACTGTAATAACTGGATCCAATGTTGTATTATACACCATTCCCATAATGGCTCACGAGCACACGAAAACGAGGCAACCCAGTCATTAGTTCACAACTAAATATACAAAGCACATGAAATGCGTTTATAGAAGCATAGTATGGAAATTGACCTTTTGTTTTGACCTGAAATCGTACTATCCACCTTTATTTTAAATGAGCTGCCTTGCTAGAATGACTGGGTGACCTCATTTTCATGTGCTCATCAGCCATTATGAGAACGGTGTATAAGTAGTTATTTAATTTTATTTTGTAGTTTCCAGAAATTCTCCATACCCCACTCTGATGGAGGAATTTATTTTAAGATCCCATTCCCTGAATTACAATTTTCTTTGATATAAAATCTATAATTTTTGTTCTTTCTCTGATCCCCCCACCCTTCGCAAATTCCAAATTCCTCCGTTAGGTATGGATAATTTCTGGAACTACACATTACTATCATAAGCAGGGAAGCATTGGTGGCGTGCGCTGCTAATGCGCCACCTCTCACCAATGCGGCCAGCATTCGAGTCCTGCCGATCTCTGTGTTGTATGTGAGTAGAGTTGTTTGTTGGTTCTCTCCTGTGTTTCGAGGGTTTTTCTCCGGGGTCTCCGGTTTTCCTCCCTCCTCAAAAATCAACTCCTAAATTCTAATTCGATCTTTGGGCTTTCACCTAGTTTGGAGCCTAGCTCTGTTGTGATTGTCCCACGCTGTGATACAACAGCGAAAAGCTTTGTAGATTTTTTTAAAAGCCAATTATCAAACCCTAACAGTACATTAAGATTTTTTTTTTCAAATTTTATATGCTCCAAAATGAAATAAAAAGAAAAAACTACTTACTACACCAGCAAAGTGCTCAAGGATTTCTTTTTCCTCCTTCATTCTTACTTGCTGAGAACTGAAAAAGGAAATAACATTTTACTAGTATCTGTTACACAAGTCAGTACTTTACAGTGGTGGAAAAAATATCCTAGACTGGGAACCCTGTGGTTCTATTGTCTATGATCTTAATAGATAGAGAATAAATTATGTTTTTGATATAATTAGTGTTTGAAGACTAACCTTGGTGGTCTAAGAAAATACTGTCCATTTGCAGTGACTGATACTTGATAGATGTCAAGGGCTTGTAGAGCTAAACAAATAATTAAAAAAAAAGTTATTTAAAAAGGCAAATTTTTGCAATAATTCACACATTCAGCTGCAGGGTTTCACATGACATCCTTTCCTGTCTTGTGCAGAATGTTTGTCAGCTGAATGACAAGTTTTCAATAGAACTCTTTCTGGCTGACAGCACATGGTGGTCAATGTCTGACCACCTTTTGGAGCAGATAATGAGATAGGACCCCGGGGGGTACTCCCATATATGGACTATAC